GTTGGGGGCCACTCTGGCCTACAGTGAGGCCTTGTCTCCTCAGAAATCATAAATAAACCCAAAATACAGATACTGTCTTTCTTTTCAAATTTAGACAACTACCTGGGAAATTTTGTTTTTGTGAAGTAGGAAAAAAAGATTTCTAGAGCAGTAAGATATAGCGGCACAAGCAACTGCTTGGCAAGCCAAGATTCTGACTTCAATTCCAGCTTTAAAAAAAAAAAAAAAAAAAAAAAAAAGATTTCTATTATAAATCCTGAGTTCTAATCCGGTTCTGAACATTTTAGGATACTAACTGCTTTGTGAATGGATGTCTTATTAACTCTTGAAGCTGGGCATGCAATCTCAGCACTAAGAGGTTGAGGTAGGACGACCAAGGGTTTGAACCTAGTCTGAGCATTGTATCAAGACCTTGTCTCAATTTTTTTTAAATGGACTCGGGATACATGGTAGTGCAGGAACCTGGGATATAGCTTAACAGCATTAAGTGCCTTCTGGCCAGTGCAAGGTCCTAAATTCAAATCCCAGTATGAAAAAATATATAATACATAAATGTACATAATAGTGCAGTGTGAAGCTCCTGGATTCAATCCCCTGTATCATGTGCAAATAAAAAGGACTATTGGAATCAAATTAAAAATCTTAAAAATACTTTATTAGTTCTAGAAATCTTTTGGGTCCCCTATGTGAAAGATTATGCAAATGCATGACTTTTCCCTTTCCTGTACATACCCTTTCTTTCTCCTGCCTGACTGCTCTGGCTGAAGTTTGAAGTACCATACTGAACAGGAATGATGAGAGTGAACACCCTTGTCCTGTTCCTGATTTTAAAAGAAAAGCTCTAAAGATTCTTTTTTCTCATTTAGTGTGATATTGGTAGTAGGTCTGTCATAAATGCCTTTTATCAGTTTGAAGTAAGGTCCTTCTTCTATCCCTGTTTTCATAAAAAAACTTTTGTGATTTAGAACCTTTCTGTACACAAAGATACTGAGCATTCTCTAAATTCAAAAGACCTGACATAAACATTCTACCAATAAGGTACACTACATGTGAAGAACAACTCTGGCACTGAAAATCTAGGACAGCAACATTTCATACAGGTTTGGAATATTACATGAAAAGAAACTATTACTGTTCAAGATAACATTAGAATTGGCAATCCTTGAGCTGGGCATAGTGGCACATGCCTGTAATCCCATCAGAAAGCTGGGGCAGAGGATTGCAATGAGTTTGAAGCCATCTGCACTATACAGTGAGACTCTGTCTCAAAAACAAACAAACAAACAAACAAGGGGCTGGGAATTTAGCTCAGCAGCATAAACACCTGCCTTGCAAGGGTGCAGTTGCTGACTTTGATTCCCCGAGACCAAAAAAATAAAACCAAAAAACCAAAAGAACAAGAAATCTGCAAAAGCAAAGACTCAAAGGTATAAGGGAGCAGCCTCAATTTAAAATTTACTGCTGTTAATCTAAACAATTGATAATAAAAAGCTTAATAAAAATGCTATAGTAAGATACTATCCTAAAAGTTCTTTTGGTTTTTTTTGAGACAGGGGTTATGCAGTACAGGGTGACCTTGAACTTGCATTCAGCCTCTGAATGCTGGCTTACAAGCATGAACAATGCTCAACCCAGCCTAAATGTTTCTTTTCTTTTCTTTTCTTTTTTTTTTTTTTTTTTTTGTCTTTTTCGTTTTTATCGGTACCAGGGATTGAACTCACGACTGCCTGTTTGCAAGGCAGGCGCTTATGCTGCTGAGCTAAATCCCCAGCCCTGCATCCTAAATGTTTAAAAGCTAGGTCAGCCATGATGGCCAGCACTTGGGCAGCAGAAGCAGGATTGCTAGGAATTTGAGATCAGTCTAGAATATCTAGTGCCATTTTGCTCCCCCTAAAAGGCATTTTTCACAAAACACACAATCACTAACTATACAAGACTCCAAAATGATACAAAATGATAGACACCTAGAATTTGCTTTTCCTTTAGCAGTACGCCACATCTCTATGTCCTAACATTTTTTTCATTCATTTTGACACAGGGTATCATGAAGTTGCTCAGGATAGCCTTAGACTAGGAAAAACTTTTTTTTTTTAAATTTTTATCGGTACCGGGGATCAAACTCACTTGCCTGCTTGCAAGGCAGGTGCTTATGCTGCTGAGCTAAATCCCCAGCCCCTTGTTTTTTTTTTTTTTATTTTAATTTTTTTTTTTTTTAATTTTAGACTAGGGAAAACTACCCTCAGTCTGCCTGCTCAGTAGCTAGAGTGTAACACACGTGCCACCTTGTAGATGAATTTTAGATTTTTAAACTACCAATACAATTAAACAGGAGGATCAGATTGTTATTAATTTAGTATTAAAATGGCCTGAACAAGTGATTTTGTCATTTCCAGTTCCTGTTGCCTTCTAGTTAAAGCCTAACTAAGCAAGAAAGAAAAAAATCCGAAAAATAAGAAAGAATCCAGTTGCCAGGTTACAATGGTTAGGAAATCAACACTGAACAAAGGCCATCATAAATTACTCTTTTCTAACTTAAAGAGAAATTAACCATATGCCATATATTATGGAATTTATTCTGAAGGTTCAATGTAAGGATTGATTCTATTTTTAGGGCTCAAGCCTACAAAACTGAGTGACAGCTAAGGAATACTTTAACCAATGTTACAGACAGGAAGTTTCTGCACAATTATAGGCCACAGATGACCAAGACTTCAAATTTTATTTTGTATCTATTGTTAATTCCTATGATAATATTTTAAAAGTACCAAATAGCTCTCCTGCACTAGTTTGCCACAAGGAAGCACTCTTTCCTGTTATGAGATCAAAAATATAGTGAATATTGCTGAGTATTATCCAACAGAAAGGCACTCATAAAAACACTACATAGCTTCATCTATCTTATTTAAAGCACTTTTCCAAAGTGAAAATGACTATGAGGCAAACATTTTGAATTGATGAAAGACAATGAAATAGCCAGGACTGCACAACTAAAGATACTCACCGAAAGGACTTTCAGAAGAGCTCCAAAAAGTGCCAAGAATGATGGGATGTGCATGCTTGAAGCAAGAAGTATTCTTTTAAGGATTGCTTTGAGATGGATTCATGACAATGTCATTTATTTTTTAAATCTTTTTCAGATGAGGTCTCACTATGTAGTTCAGACTGGCTCTAAGATCACTTTGCAGCCTCATCTGATCTTGAACGGGCAAGGAAGGATCCTACTACCTCAACCTCCTGAGTGCTGGGATTACAGGCATGCACCATGACACCTGGCTGACAATTTTATTGGATTTGGTACCAGGAACTGAATTCAGAACCTTCTGCTCACCAGGCAGGTGCTTGTACAGCTGGGATCTATCTATCTATCTATCTATCTCCGGCCCAATTGAAGTAAATTTTAATTTACACATTTGCTGTATTTTATAATCACACCTGGTTAATTTAGTGAAAAAGTCAAGGATTTAATTCCTAGTACAGCCTCCTATCCCCAAATCAGTTTTGAAGGTAGCATTCTTCTAACTAGAAACTACTTCTTGGGGGTATTGACTGCTACACTTTTTATTTATGTAATTTAACATTTCTCATTTAGTTATGTGACCTCCAGAAAATATTTTACTTTTTCCCCAGAAAGTATTTCTAATTCAAACCATTTCAAATAGCATATTTCTGTCAGGCATAGTGGCAAATGTCTGTAACCTCAGCACTAGGGAGACTGAGGCAGGAAGATACTGAGTTCATTGTCAGACTGGACAACAACAGTGTGACTATCTCCAAAAACAAAAAACAAACAACAACAAAAAAAATGCAAATGCTTTTTTTTTTTGTGAAAAGGATCTTACTTGACTATATGAAGTTGGTTACAACGTAAAACTTTTCTTTCTTGAGACAGGGTCTCACTATGTTCAGGCTGGCCTCAAACTCATGGCTATTCTCCTGCCTCAGCCTCTTGAATACTTTGGTGATTACAGGCATGTACCAACACACCAGGCTTAAAAGACATTTTTAACACATTGGAACATTACTTAAAGGAGGGAAAAAGCACAAGCTGTTTTTAGATAAATTTAAATTGACTTAGCTAGGCATGGTGGTGCACCCTTGCAATCCCAGCTCTCAGGAGGCTGAGGCAGATTGCTGTGAATCTGTCTGGCTTACATAAGACAAGTTGAAAGCTAGCCTGGACGAGAGTGAAACCTTGCCTCAAAACAAAGCAAATTTGACTAGAACCTTTTATCAACTTTGTAGGGGAAACATAGTCCAAAATTCTAAATATGCTCTCACAGTAATACTTTCTTCTTGAAGGTGGTTTTCAACCATCAACTGGCAGTATCCTAAAGCTTTTTTTGTGGGGATGGTAGTATGACTTGAAAAAGGCTTTTCCTATGTAGTTCATGCTGGAATCCACCTGGTGGTGATCCCCTCCTGTCTAGCCTCAGGAATGCTAGGATTACAGGCACACACCAGCTTCCTTAAAAAACTTCCAGTTTTATACTCTTAAACCACCACCCCTCTCCCCGTTTTTGAAGCTAGCCTCTAGATACATAGTTCACAGTGGCCTTTTCACTCATTGTGTACTCCATTTTAGTCCAGCACTCCAGAGATCCTCTTGCCTCTGCTTCTGGAACACAGGAATTGCAGGCATGCACCACACCTTGTTTAGCAAACCCTTTAAAGTGAATTATTTTGTAATAAAGCTACTCCCTTTTAATTGTTCTCCAGTTACCTTTAGAGCAGTTAGCACCTCCCTCTGAAAAACTCAAATTAGCTTTCATATCGGATAAGTTAAATGTTTTTTCGAAAAGAATATAAAGCAGAGGTGCCTTAATCGGATTTCTTAATCGGTTAAAATTCTTTTATCACAACAAAGATAGGGCTGCTTCAGAATCTGTGGTCACCGCATAATAAATATTTGCTTATTAAGCATCGAAATGTAAGTCACATGCCTATCTGGTTCTCACTCTGATAAAAGACCTCATCTAAAGTTTACTGTGCAACTACGCAAACGCACACAGAGTTTCTAAATCTCTGGACACGTGCAGCTACTACCTGTGCTTCTTGGTAACTCCTGGCTGCGGGGGAGGCGGCTGAGATTTGGCAACACGCACGCTTTTCCCAGAACCAGAGCTAGGAGGCGGTCTGGCGAGACCCATACTCCAGAAACCCAGAGACGTGAGAAGCTAACTACGGTGCACAGGCCTCCCTGCGGCCGCTTCGCAGGAGGGCCGAGAGCCGCGTGGTGCAGCTGGCCAGAGTCCGCGCGGCGCCCACCACAGGTGGGCCCGGCCCGGCGCGCCACCGCGGGGTCCACGCCTCCAGCGCCCGCGTGGACGGGCGCTCCCAGCAACTCAGGGCCTAGCGCTAAGTTACCACCCAGGACCGCCCAAGGGTGAAAAGTGGGGCTCCTGGCACCGTACGGTGAGGGAAGCTTCAAAGACGGGGAAAACGGTCATGTGGAACAAAAATGTCCTCTACCCGCCAACAGTAAGCGGAGTGAAGATCTCGAGACCTCCCACCCAAGGCCAGGTATGACCGCCTCCCAGAGAAGCCCTAGGGGCCGCACGCGGGGGGAGGGAGGGGAGCTGCTGGCTGCTGGGAGACCCCCGCGCGGCCTGGGCCTTATTCATGGGCGACCTTCCCAGAGCGGGATGTCGCACTCACATTGTGAACGGGGCAGGGGGACGGGCGAGCGGGTGGGCGGGCCTCTTGCGGCGGCTGCTAGGGAGTCGACTCCTTTTTGGTGGCGACTCCGGCGTTGTCTCCCCGGTCGTGGCCTCTTCTCGTTCCCCTCAGGCGACGGCGACGGCGACTGCGACGGCGACGACGGCGGGCTCGACCTGGGTCCCCACAATGCACCGCGCGGCGAGCGCGGCTCCTTGGTCGAGGAGAAGTGTAGGAAAAGGGGCGCGAGGACGGAGAATGAACGTGCGTGCGTGCGAGCAAGGGGTGGTAAGGCCGGGCGGCGGCTGGTGACGCAGCAAAATGCCCGGGCCGAGTCGCCGCGCGTGCGCAGTCTTTGTTTTTAGGCTCCTGCGCGGCTTTCTAGAGCTATCTACGGAAAGGGCGGGGTCTCCCAGCTCCTTCGCGAGGGTTCCCGGCGCAAGCCCCGCCCTTCGCTACGCACACCCCCTCCCGCCCTGTTTGCCTTGTTCCCGCCTCTCCTTCCGCGCTCTTCTCTAGCGTTAAGCAAAAACCGTTGGCTTCTCAACCGCCTGGCCACGCGCCGTGAGTGAGTTAAGAGAGCGTGCCTCGCATTGGCAAAGAGCAAGGCTGTGAGGAGAAGGCGTGCAGAGTCGCGAGTCTTCATAAGTAAACCGAAGCATTGGTTAGTCAAGCCATTGAGGAAACGGTCCTTCGTAAAAAGATGTGAAAACCCCTGAAGACAGTGCAGGGCTAATTTGGGGATGGGGGCTCGGGGCTTTTCGCGGTCGCCGTGGTTTTGAGGACCGCAGCCCGAGTCCGGGGCCGCGCAGGGACGCTTGCGCTTGGGAGCGGCTTCTGCTCGGACTTTGGGACGTTAGCGCTGAAGGTGCGCCCGGAAAGCTGAGGAGAGGAGAGCTCGGCGTCCCAGGACCCCGGTGATACGATAGTCCGCCATGCGCTGTACCTCGCCGTCTCAGACAAGGGGCTGTGCGCTGCCCGCTGGGCAGAAGTCTAGCAGGGCACCGACCGAGGGGAGGCAGTGCTTGCCAAAGACAGTGATGGAGGAAGGGAAGACATTTTTTTTTTTTAGAACATTTATTTAGAATAGGGAGACCTAAGGAAAGGGTTAGAAAAAGCGTTTGGGGCGTCATAGTATTATAAGGTGTTTAATGTCAGTGTTGTGCAAGACAGGTATGGGTACTGCAGAAGAGGAAGTGAAGCCTGGGTGGTGGCGCACACCTGTAACCCTAGCACCGTAGGGTACAGCAGAAGAGACGATTCAAACCCATGCTTTGACCCAGTGAGACCCTGTCACAAAATTCAAAAAGGGCAGGGGATTGTAGCTCAGAGAGAAGGCCTTGAATTCAGTCCCTGGAACAAGACAAAAAAACATACTGTGCATTTTTTTTTTCAGTTAAATCGAAACATGTAAAAACCATAATTTGTCGTACAAGAGCTAACAGTTTGGCAAGTTAGATTGTATCTGCAGGCCTTAGTTTACCAGTATGGCCTAGGAAATCCTAACTGTAGAGAAATAATTTTTGGTGATATTTGCCAGTAATCCGAAACTCAGAAGATGACAGGAAGATTTTAAATTCAAGGCCAGCCTAGACAAAAATAAATAAAAAAATCCCAGGTATGATGGACACACCTGAAATCCTACCATCTGGGAAGCTAAAGCAGAAGGAATCCCAAATTGGAGTCCAAATTCTGCATGGTAGCCTACTAGGAGGCTAAGGCAAGTGAATGTTTTAAATTCAAGACCACACTGATTGTGTAGTAAGTCAGTGACAATCCAAACTACATAGCAATACTGTCCAAAAATAAAAGAAACAAAGATGCAGCACAACTTGGCGATTTATTTATTTTTAACAGTCTTCTCAAAGTATAAGAAAAGTGCTATTTAGTGGAAGGGTCCTGGGTTCAGTCCCTAGTACCAGGCAAAAAGAAGAAAACAAAGCAAAAGGTCAAGAACAAACAAATTTGATGGGGTAGTACACCCTTTAAGATCAAGCCTTAACCTAAAGCTATCATTTTAATATAATCCGCATTAGCTAAGGCATATAGAAGTGAACCAGTAGCTCTGTGACTTAAGCGCTTGCCTGAGAAGCGTGAGGTTGCTTAATCCCCAGTACCAAAAAAAAAAAAAAAAAAAAAAAAAATCAATGCAGTGTCAGTGTACGTAGAAAGATACTTGATGAGACCAAAAAAATTCACAAATAATGGTGGCACTCAATATCAGTTTGTGTTCATCTTACATCTCTGGTAGGAAGCTACTGAAGTTTTTTTTTTTTTTTTTTTTTTTAATTATAGTAACACTTCTCAAAATATTGCCTTGGTAACAATATACAAAATGAAACTGGTATTGGTAGTACAAACCTATAATCCTAGCACTCAGGAGGCTGAGGCACAAGGATCATGAGTTCAGTAAAAAAAAGCCAGGTGTAGTAGCACATGCCTGTAATCTCAGCACTTGAGAGGATGAGGCAAGAGAATTGTCAGGAGTTTGAGACCAGCCTGGGCCACATAGTGAGTTCAAATGCCAGTTTGAGCTACGTAGACTTTTATCTTGAAAGATTGATGCTAGACTTCCGGGAGAACATGGCGGACAGATAACAGCAACTACTGGAGGCTCTCTGAAAGACTCAGCTCAGAAGCCAGGAATGGTGCGGACTAAGGAGACATAAGCAGGTGGAGATATGCTCTGCTGACTCAGGAACGAACTGGGCTGAGAGAAACCAACTTGGAATGCAGTCCTGGTGCTAAAACATGAAGAGAAAAGCCTCGGTGTGGAGGCTGGACCCCGCACCATTGTAAGCCGCGATTTGGGTTTCCTGCCGCGTGGCGGCTGGCTGCCTCTACAGTGGCTCGGCAAGGAGAGAGACACACAGAAGCTCTGAGAACGGCAATCTGCGAACGGCAGGGAGGCGTGCACTGACTTGTGGTGAGGTGAGTGAGAGAAACTGACACTCTACCACAGTTTGACTCCAGCAGAGGACTTTCTGGGCCCAAGCAGTCCTGCGGGAGCAGGGCGCTGTGGCGACTCCAGCCACACATCCCCCTCTCAGGCGGGATTGGTGAAAAGTGCCTGGCCTGCGTGACGCTGCCGGCGGACCTGGTAGACTGTCCCAACCCAGATCCCAGAGCCTGACAGTGGCCGGGAGGGGAGATGTGTAGGCTGCCTGGTCCGTAACTCCCTGGTGCGCAGCGGTGAGTGGGAACACCTAACTGGCGCAATTCGATCAGGCTGTGGCTGACTGGGAGAGAAGCTGGGCCTCTTATATAAGCTTGCATATATAAGGAACAGAGAAGAAGAGGCAGCATGGGAAAAGGCAGCAACAAGAAAGGCTCCTCGGCCCCCAATTCTGAGAAACAGGCAATAGCAGACACCGCACCAATATACATAAGGCACCATATAGAGAGCCTCATAGACCAATTCAGGAATGAAGTTATCAACGACCTGAAGCTAGAAGTAGGCAGAATAGTTAGAGAAATGCTAAGTACCACCCAAGAAAAAACAGGTGGTGGAATGGAAGAACAGAAAAAAAGGGGAGAATTGTTTGATGGAGAAAACAGAGAAAGCATAGAATACGTGAAGCAGGTTCAAAGGCACTACCAAGATACTAAGAAGTCTATAGAAGACTGGCATAACAGCTTGAAAGAAACTAAGGACAGACTATCTGAACTGGAGGGCAGACTTGTAATATGGGAGAATGAAATGAAAAACTTCTTAAAAATAACAAAGAAACAAACAGCAATAATACAAAGACAAGAAGATGATAAGAGGATCCATAACTTAAGGATTAAGAACATAAAAGAAGAAGTAGGGACACAAACAAGTGAACTACAAAAGCTACTCACAGAAATAATCCAGGAGAATTTTCCTAATTTAGCAAAAGGTAAAGATACTCAGATGTATGAGGCATACAGGACCCCAGCTACCTACAACCCAAACAGAGCAACACCCAGGCATATAATAATAAAAATTCCAGAAATCCAATACAAGAACAGAATATTAAAAGCCGTCAGAGACAAGAAGCAGATCACTTACAAGAGAACACCCATCAGAATTACAGCAGATTTCTCTGCACAAACCATCAAATCACGAAGAGCGTGGGGGGAAATAATTCAAGCTTTGAAAGATAATAATCTCCAGCCAAGATTGAGATATCCTGCACAACTGTCCCTGGAAATTGATGGAAAAACAAGGTGCTTCCAGGATAAAGAGGAACTGGGGGAATTTGCAACCACCAATTCAACTCTAAAGAGAGTTTTGCAGGATATTCTAAAAAAAGAAAAATACAAAGAATCCAGAAATAATAGCAGAGAGGCCACAACGAATGGAGCAGAGAACAAAATGAAGAAGACAAACTGACAGCTACTGACAGAAAAAGAGCTCAACAGAAATGAGGCAGAGAAGATTGGATGATAGGAACAGCTATTTTGGAGAAAATGACATCTTAATAGGTAATACTGATTTAGTATCATCTTGTTTTGAAGTCTCATCTAGCTTTTGTCCTTCTGTCTCCAATGGTCTAAATAGGCTGTATCTTATTGGATTTTATTATGTACGATAGTATAAGCAAAAACCTTTTAAAGACAAGGAGATTATACAGAAACCATTGTTCATTTTCTGTTAGTCGATTCTAAATACTCTGTAATGCTGTCATTCTCTTGAATGGTTTTACATTGTTTTGAACCGAAGTTGTACTCAAGGATTTCAAAGAAAGAGACAATATGGTAACTACTTTTAGGTTAGGATTATCTGGTGGTGAAACACTATTCTGCTTAAATGGTTATGTTTTGATCTGCGCTGTTTCATTGTTATGCCCTCTTTTATCTCAATCTCCACTCCATTATTTTTTATCTTTATCCTTTTAATT